TACCATTTTTAATAGAATTTTTATTGAAACATATTCTTGTACATATTTATGGGGTACAGAGTTATTTTCTAATACATGTATACAGTATCGCTGATTCACTATAATTTTATCTTTTTTTTTGAAAGACTACCAGTAAGAGTATCCAAACCCATGGCGTTGGTGTTATCAGTACCACAGTCTCCCAAGTGAGCCACTAGTCGGCCCTTAATTTTATCTTTTTTTTTTTTTTAATCAACTAAATGCATTTTTATTTTATTTATTTATTTATTTTAGTTTTATTTTATTTTGTCAATATACAATGTGGTTGATTATTGTGGCCCTTTACCGAAACCTCCCTCCCTCCTCCCTATCCCCCCTCCCTCCCAACAAACTCCTTTCTGTTCACTTGTCATATCAACTTCAAGGAATTGTAATTGTTGTGTCTTCTCCCCCCCACCCCAGGTTGTTTGTGTATTTATTTATTTATTTATTTATTTATAGCTCCCACAAATAAGTGAGAACATGTGGTATTTCTCTTTCTGTGCCTGACTAGTTTCACTTAATATAATTAATTTTATCTTTTAATTCCATTTTTCCATGAAGTTTGAAGGACCATCATGCATAATATAGCTCATGTATATTTAACCCAGTTCTAGCATATGGCAAGTACTCAGTAATTATCAGTTGAATTCAACATTGGCCTACTGAGTCCCACAAATCATCAATCATTCTTTTATTTTCCAGTTTCAACTGGATTGATTATCTAAAAGTAACGACTCATTGAAGCTCCTATCTTTATATAGTCCTAAGAGCTATTCTCAGTCCCATAGGGCAAGAAAGCAGTCACTGCAGAGGCTGTGCCCAGGACAGAGCTAGTGCTAGGCCCTGATGTTTGGGAGCCATTAAACCAAAGGTCAAATACAGAAGAAAAAGAAAGTATTCAAAACAATAGAATAAGATCACATAATTTGTAACATCTTCAGGCCCAATCACTGCCACGATAGGTGGAAAGTTCACATCCCCTCTTTACAGCAGTGAACAGATTCCTTAAAATTCCTTTCTTAAAATCTTGGAAATATTCCCCCTCTTTTTATTCACATTCCACTCACACTCTTCCCAAACCAGTCACTGATTACACACACATAAGCATGTGTACACAGAAGGACATATGCACATGTATATACATGCACACGCATACACACACACACACAACACATACACAAAATAGCCAAAGTATGTATGGCACACAGGAGGGGTGGAGGGAGAAAGAGGAAATATTTTATTTTCTTTCTTAGCTTGAAAAATAGTGTTTTATCATGTTGCTATGACATTCTATTTTTCTTCATAAGATTTTGGGATTCATGAAAGTTAAACTATCAGCAGAGTTTTTGCTTTTATTTTAAAAAGTGAAAATTTTAAAAAGCCACTCCAATTAGATCTGGATCCCTAAACAATTGCTGCAGCTTCAGTATCAAGGGATATATTTCCTTCTTGCTTATGTGAATTTGGAGTCACCAAAAAAGTTAAAATAAGAAAAGGAGGGCTTACTATATTTATTTTAGAGGAAAGAATTGATTCAGATGACAGACTGTCTACCTGACAGACTAGCCAACATGAAGAGTCCTTTGTACAAAGCCTCTCTAGTCTCACTAGATAAAGAATGGAAGGAAATTAGAGTTTATTTTAATGATCCTATGCTGTCTTCCTTCCATCGTAATATAAACAACCATCCCTTTTTCTAGCCAGACGACATGGTTTTCCATAGCCTCACACAGCCACAAATGTGAGCCACACTAAATAGCTGTTGTTGGCAGAAGATAAGGAGGGAAGAAAGTGCCCATACGAAGTTTATTTATTTTATCTGAAACTGCAACTGTCGGGGGGAGACTGTAAGTGCCATACACTTTACTCTAGATAGGCTGCCAACTTCAAAGAGGACGTCCATGGGGAAGAGTCTGGGATCTTCACACCACGATTAAGCAAAGCCCCACCAAGTTGAGCTGGACTTCTGTAGTGCCTGTGAAAGGAAACACGTTCTGTAGGTTGTGATTCTGCTGGCAGGTAAGTGTTGCTAAGAAGGCCATTGATTTTTAAGAGGATCTAGAGCTGCCAGGGAAGAAAACTGAGAGCACAGTGAACAAAAGCTGGAGCTGGTATTAACCCTTGGCTCATGATATTCCTGGCCTTTTTGCTTTACTCATTTTAGGATATTTTAAGAAAGAGGACTGTGTTTTCTGACTGTAAATATGAGTGCAGCAGGTTGAACCAGGATACACCAAATATTTTTCTAACTGAGGGAGACCAATGTAGAATTTACATGCCAGCAAGATGACTAAACAGCCATTTGTCTCATATTTATTCATTTAGGGCTGATGAGAGTGGAAAGAAACAGCTGGTGTGAGCTATTTCTGTTAGGAAGCAGCAAGATACAGCATGCCATAGGAGACTATTTTAAACCCAAGGTATATTATTGTCACAGGTCTTTTATAGAACTTTGACACTCAGTAAGCTTCCTTGTCAATATATATACACATACAAAGAAGTTTTAAAGAGATCTCACTGGTGAGGTTTTTTTGTTCGTTTTTTTCTCAGCATAGTTTACCTTCTAACCACAAAGTATGTTTGTGTGATAAGACAGAAAAGACTTTGTATTCAGATTTAGAACTTAAGTTGCTTTAAGAACAGTAATGAAAAGAAAAATAAAACATTGACAACAAAAAACATGTGACATATTGTGCCACATTAGTCCTTAATGGTGACAAGAATTCCTCCTGTTAATAATAAAGCAGTGTCTTTACTTTTTATGTATGATGTATAACTACTGAGAAGCCCTAACTTTTTTCTACAAGAAGTTGGTAACCACCTCACAAAAGCCTCCCAAGGACTGAATTCTTGAGTACATTTATTTTTCCATTACTAACACTCCCAATACAGCCTCCAAGGCCAAATTTCTAGTCTCTCTACTAGGGAAATAGCTCAACTCAGATTTTCTGGAGAAGAACCTCAGGTGATGACATATTTGTATTCCACTGAACATCTTAGGAAACTCAATCCAGAAATGTCATTCTAAGGAAGCCTCCCTGTTCCCATAGGATTTTAGAGCCAAAAGAAAATTTGGAGAACTTTAAAATCAGCATCCCTTTTCATAGGTATATCCTCAGCACCTAGCAAATTTCCTGGCACATAATAAGTGCTCGATTAATGTTTTGTTAGTTGATTGATACTGATGGCTTTTTTTGAAATTCTCATAACCTTTGTTTCCAATATTGGTTTTCATTACTCAAGATTCTTGCTATGGACGTGGAAGAGCATTGTGCAGACACTGAGTTGAATAGATACTAAATGCCTGGATTTTTTGTTTTGTTTTTTTGCTAAATCTCCAATAGTTATTTTCTGTTGCAGTTGTTAATGGAAGTTCTGTTTTGTTTGCTTTGTTTTGTGCTGTTTTACTCTTCAAAAGAGTATCATGGAAAAACCCTAGATACCCTTTCTTAACTGTTCCATTCTGATGCAATCTCCCCCAACACGCACGCACACACACACACACAGACACACACAGACATGCACATGCAGGCACAGAGATCTGAGGACTCTAAGGACCTCAATCATCTACAGAAATTCAATCTGTCTTTATAATCTACCACATTCTCCACAAAGAAAAATTTGTTTTTTAAGGCAACTCTTAAAAGCTGAAGAAGTTTCTAGTCTTCCCATTCTCACTTCCAATGTGTCTTTATGATTTCCAATGTGTCTTTATGACATTTCAGTCTTACACTATCTTATAGAAGGCCTATTCTGACCACTTTTATGTTACAACCTTGAAGAGTTTAAGGGGTTTGAACAAGGTCTCACATGAATTAGTTGCAGAAATAAGGTGAGAATACATGTTTCCTGATTCCCAATTTGGCACTTTTCATTATACCCAGCCAAAAGTCTTTTATCCAGAAGATCTAATGTTTTCATAGAAAAAAGAGACAATATTAACAACAATAATCACATTGTATAAAGATTGCTCTAGTGCTATAAACATCCACCATTCTTCTCAATAAAGTAAAATGGTGCCAAGTCAAATAGTGTATCGCGTGCCCAGAGGTAATTAAAAGATATTATATAAATGATCAACCTAAGGTAAACTGTAGAACAAACAGGAGATTGATCAGAAGGCCAAGGAAATACTAAAATTGTCATGACCTGGGCCGGCCCGGTGGCGCACTGCTACAGTGCACCGCTTGGGAAGCTCGGCGGTGCTCCCGCCGAGGGTTCGCATCCCACATACAGACCGGCCGCTCACTGGCTGAGCAAGGTGCGGAAGCAACACCGAGGGTTGCGATCCTGTGCCGGTCACGAAAAAAGACAAAAAGGGAAAATAAATAAATAAATAAAATAAAATAAAATTGTCATGACCTGAGAATTTCAAATGGGAAAGAGCTTAATGGGAGCTCAAGCAAACATGAGTTATTAAAAAAAAAATCCATGTTAGCCACAAAGTAGGTAGTATTTTCCCATAAATACTATTATTGCTTATGTCATGGCTGCCATCAAAGGAAGGACATCATTCCTTTTTAATCTGAGTTCTACCTTCATTCAAGATTATTGTTCATCCCTGTAGACACCTTGACTCTTCTAAAAATCTTTTTTTTTTAATATTCTGCATCTGATGTCTCTAGATAAACTGAAAGTCCCTATGCTTTTCACTTATTTATATTTTCCAAGGAGTTAAATACAATTCAAAACATTTCTGATAACGGATTGGCTCTGTGGTCATGCAGGAAAGGCACACAGAGTTACAGGAAGAGGTGTGGGAGTAATGTAAGCCAGGTGGCAAGTACGAGCTCCTAGTGCTCTCCCTCATTCCCACAGAAACAACAAAACAGTAAGTGAACAACTACGTTTTGACAAAAATAACTAAAGAAAGATCTAGAGAATAGCAAAGAAGCAACAGAAATCCCGTAGAGAACAGAAAACAAGGATGGCTGCATAGGGCAGGGAAGGAAACACCTTTCCTCCACCACTCCACTCACCCAGTCAGGATCAGCTCAAAACCAGGACGTATTCCTCCTGCGGGGAAAAGGTAAGCAAGACAACCCCAGCAGACCTCAGCAGCCCCCATCACCACTGTTAACACCTTCAGTCTTTGCTACCAGAGACTTCTGCAGTAATCACAGGCTCTGAGCCCAGCTGATGAAGCTCCCCAGAATTCACCTGCTGAGACATCCCAGAGAAGGGACCGATACTGTGCCCCATCCCTGTGGCCCATGCTGCTATTGCAGTGCACCATCTTGAAAATGGAGCCACTGCTAGAGTGCGTCCTGATCACCATTGCTCTCCTCTATACCCAAAGCTTTACCACCACTGCAACATACCCATCCTGTAGTGTGCCATCCCCAGGCAGAGCTGCCCTGGGGACCTCATGCCTTCTGCATATTGAAGGAGTCAAATGCCACCCAACCCCAGCATTACAGGTGAGGCAGCACCCTATCCTCCCCCCTGGGGGACTTTGAGCCTCTAGCACAACAGAGCAATTGTACCTCCCGGTGCCACGGCTGACACAGTATCCTGCCCTTAGGGATCCAAATCTCCACCAACCTGTATAGCCACACTTTTTAGGGCTAACCCCACTCTCCAGGCCAAACAACCACAGTACCCTGCCTACATGGAACTGTACTAGCCCCCCACCCTACCATAGTTCAAGCTGCTGAGGTGTCTATCTCTCCAGGGAGTGGAGTCTTTGCTGTGCCACTCCCCTTACCTCTGGGCCCAAGTCACAGTGGTATCTTGTCATTCCTGTGTCCTTGCTGCTGCTACACCTGGCTTCACAGAGCCTGGGCTACTGCTATGTCCAATTATCCCAGGGTCGTGGTACCTCATCCCCTAGAGAACAAGCTGCCACTGTACCCTGTTGGTTCTGAGTCCCAAATTGCAGTTGTGCTGTGCACCCTGTGGCCTGAGCCTCTGGAGCACCCCTTCTCATCCAGAGCCATGCCAGTGCTGTGCCCTTCCACCCACTGTCAGAATCACAGCTAAATCTCAGTCTCCTAGCCCCAAATTGCTGGGGTGTGCCTCTGAGCAATGGTCACCAGCACAGTGGGAGAACTTGTTTCTTGGAAAGTAAACCTGTGCTTCAAGAGCCAGGTTCTACAGTAGTTTCACAAGACTCTGAGCCCAGGAAACTGGCTCCATAAGCTTCTTCAAGCACCTGTGCCCAAGATCCCAGTGCAACAAAGGCTGCCTGTAAGCCATATCAGAACCAAAACTAAGATCCCCTGAGCTAAGACTCTCCACAAGGAAGACATGAATAGGAAGATTACTAAAGCTCTTGCCTTAATAACCTATGCAGACACTAGCACTGCCATAAACTCTTACAGCCTAAGCCACTAAGACACCTACAGTCATTACTAACATTGATGAGAACTGAAGAAGCTGCACAGAAACTATGCCAATGCACCCTGCCTGACCAGCACCCTCAGGCCAATCTGCAGATAAAAGTATTCCCCTATAAAAGCCACTTTGTAAGTTTGGAAAAGGTGACTGCACCAACAAATGTACATACCTTAATGTAGGAATGCAAGAAACAAAAAAGCAAGGAAACAAGACACCACCAAAGAAATATAATAGTTTTTCAGTAAATGACCCCAAAGAAACAGAAATTTATGAATTGCCTTAAAAAAAAACCCTCAAAATAATGATATTAAGGAAATTCAACAAGATGAAGAGAATACAACTCCAAGAGGAGGCACTGGAGAAGAACCAAGCTGGTTCTACAAAGAACTGCACATAAGATAGCACACATATTTACCAATTGATCAATGTCAGTATGATCTTACTGCATCAAGTTGAAAATTTGGACATTTAGACAAATTTTATTGAGGAAATTCTCTGTTTCTAAGCTCTGCACAAGTAGATTGATTCTGTAATAAATATGTGAAGCATTTTGTTTTTTAAAAAAGAATGGAAATAGACAATTTAATGAAATCAGGATAAAAATTGTGATCTGAATGAGAAATTCAACGAAGAGATGGATATCATAAATAAGAAACAAGCAGAAATCTTGGAGATGAAGAATTCAATAAATAAAATTAAAAAAATAAAATAGGGAGCTTCAACAGCAGACTAGATTGAGCAGAAACCTTGCAGACCAGGAGAGAATGATATAGTAAAGTGCTGAATGAAAAAACAAAACAAAACTAAAAAAAAAAAACCCAAAACCAAAAAACCTGTCAGCCAAGAACACTATAACCAACAAAGCTGTTCTTCAGAAATAAAGGACAAATAAAGTCTTTCCTAGAGAAGCAAAACCTGAAGAGATTCATTACCATTAGACATGTTTTACAAGAAATGCTTAAGATAGTTATTCAAGTGGAAAGAAAACAAAATTGCTATCATAAATCTATGTAAATGGCAACCATAAGTGGTCAGGGATGGATATACTTATAACTGATAAAAAGCTGTCACAAGAGACAAAAAAAATCATTTTAACTCTAATGATTCATCAAAATGTAAATTCATCAAAAGTATGTAACAATTGTAAATATTTATGTACCATTGGAGCATCTAAATATGTAAAACAAATTTTAATGGACATGAAGGTAAAATTGAAATATAATAATAGTAGGGGACTTCAATACCCCACTTTCAACAATGGATAGATCACTCACAGAGAAAATTAATAAGGAAATGCTAGACATATACAATACTTTTGAACAAATAGACCTAACAGACATATACAAAACTTTCCATCTGACAGCAGGAGAACATACATTTTTCTGTAATGCATATGGAATATTCTTCAGAATAGATCATATGTTAGGCCACAAAACAAGTCTTAACAAATTTAAGAAGATTGAAGTCATATCTTATATAATTTCAGTCCACAAAAGTATAAAACTAGAAAGTAATAACAATGGAAATCTTGGAAAATTCACAGACACCTGGAAATTAAACAACATGCTCCTATAAAAATGCTGGGTAAAAGAAGAAATAAAAAGAGAAATTTAAAAATATTTTAAGATGAATGACAATGAAAACATAACAAACCAAAATCTATGGGATGCATTAAAAGCAATTCTAAAAATTTTTAGCAGTAAATGCCTATCTTAAAAAAGAAGGAACAATCTAAATAAATAGTCTATCATTATACCTCAAGGAACTGAAAAAGAATAACAACCTAGTTCAAAATTAGCAGAATTAATGAAATAATATAACTCGGAAAAGAAATAAATAAAATAGAGAACAGAAAAATCCTGGAAAGAACCAATAAAATTGAGGTTTTTAAAATAATAATAATATTGACAAACCCTTAGATAGTCTAAGAAAAAGAGAAGACTCAAAAAATAAAATAGAAAATGAAAGCATAGAGATTACAACAAACTCCCCAGAAATAAAAATAATTTTATTCCAAAAAATTGATAACCTCGAGAAAATGGATAAATTCCTAAAAATATACAACTTACCAAGTTTGAGTCAGGAAGAAATAGAAACCTGAACCAACCAATAATAAATAAAGGGATTGAAGAAGTAATAAAAAAAACCTTCCAACAAATAAAAGACCAGGACCAGATGACTTCACAACTAAATTCCACCAAACATTCAGAAAAGAATTACTACTGATACTTCTTAAAATCTTCCAAAAAACAGAGCTAGAGAGAGTACTTACATACATATTTTATGAGACCAGCATCACCTTGATACCTAAGCCAGCAAAAGGCATAACAAGGAAGAATAATAATAATAATATAGGCCAATCTCTCTGATAAACATTGATGCAAAAATTCTCAATAATATATTAACAAATTGAATCTAACAACACATCAAAAAAATTATATATCATGACCAAACCAAATTTATCCGTGGCACGCAAGTTTAGTTTAGTATATGCAAATCAATCAATGTGATGCCTTCCATTAAGAGAACAAAAGATAAAAATCACATGATCATTTCAATTAATGAAGAAAAAGCATTCAATAAAGTCCAACATCCTGTCTTTACAAAAAATCTCAACAGATTAGATGCAGAAGGAAACTTCCATAAAATAATAAAGGCCACCATTTATAAAAAGAAAAACTCACAACTAACATCATAGTCAAAGGGGAAAAACTGAAAGCATTTCTACTAAGATCCAGTATAAGGCAAGGTTGTCCACTCTTGCTAGTTATCTTCAACATAGTACTTGAAGTACTAGCAAGAGCAATCAGATAAGAAAAAGAAATACAAGACTCCAAATTGGAACAGAAATAGTAAAATTATCTCTATTTGCAAATGACATGAGCCTGTGTGTAAAAACCTCCAAAGATTCCACAATTTTTTTTTTTTTAAAAACTGTTTAAACTAATAAATGAATTCAGTAAAGTTATAAGGCACAAAATCAACCTACACAAATCAGGAGGAATGTAGTACACAAATAACAACCTAACTGAAAAATAAATCAAGAAAACCATCTCTTTTATGACAGCATCAAAAACAAACAAACAAACAAAATACTCAGGAATAAATTTAACCCAGTAGATGAAAGATCTGTACATTGAAAAGCATAAATCACTTAAGAAAGAAATTGAAGAAGACACAGATAAATGAAAATATCTTGTGCTCACAGATCAGAATTAATGTTGTTAAAATGTCCACACTACCCAAAGCAATAATCAATATTTATGTGCTTCACATAGTTGAACTTGCCTACTTATTTTTAACAATATTTATTTATTTCTCATTATGAAAGCAATAAACTGTCATTGGAGTATTTTTGAGAATACAACAAAACACTGAGGACCAGTAAAAGTCATCAGATTCCACAACCCACATGCAACCACTTATAAATTTATTTTTGTAGAAAACCAAACAAAACTATAAAAATTAAATCATGAAAATTAGACGGGATAAGAAATAACTGAGAAAAACTTCCTCCATTTCAGATTTCTCTGGGTCTAGCCTATCTAACTAGGTACTCCTCTCTGAGAAACGTTTGTTTTCTCTCTCTGCTTTTGTCCATGGTCCTACCTGAGTTTTCTCTGGGTTCTCCCAGCCCTAGAGGAGGCATCATTTCTCACTGCTGCCTGGTGCAATCTCCATTCAGACTGAACATCCCTTCCCTTTCCCTTTATACTAAATCATTACCTA